CTGTATCTGTCAATGACGTAAGCCATAATGTGAGAGAACGACTGGGCACAGCTGCTTCGACATCGTTTCTATCGAGAAAGTCATCTCCCAGTCAAGCTCGGAGAGAAAATCTTCAATACCGTTGTGATCTGCGTTCCGATAGTCATAGTAGACTGGGATCGGGGAAATAGCAATGGTGCACGATCGTCTCTCTTCCATAACAAACAAATAAATAACAAGAGGGCCATGATGCGAGAGGATTTTCACTAGTGGGGCAGGTGCAACAGAAATAGTCGGAGCAACATCCTGGGCACTAACGAAGCAGAGGTATAAGTGGGATACAGAAAACCACTGTGAAATGGCAGCCACGATATCCCAGGAAGGTTTAAATCGCCCAAAATAATAACCTCGTCGACTGGTGGAATATTTTCCATAAACTGTGAGATACAGCAGTCACGTGTACGGTCTGGAGGGATGTGGACATTCATCTAAATAAATAAATATCATTTGCTGCACCAGACAACCGATCCGCGTGAAAATTTAAAACATTTGGTCAAACTGGTTGAAAGAGTACAAAAAAACACAGACATATTGACATCTCCCAAGAACGAGGAGGGTTCTAAGGAGGTGGTACCTACGGAAAAAGTTAGTTCAACTATTCCCCTTGAATAAAAATCCAAGGCTATGAAAATCGGATGAGGCATTGCTGAGAACGAGTTTGTTGAAAAAAATTCGTTCGTCCTGGTACTTTACGGGTTAAAAAGATAGATGAAAGCTCTGGCCTCTGGCACTTTTGCTTATATATTTGTCGATTCATTTTTAGAGTCGGTAAAGTAGAAGTCGATAAAGTAGAATATTGTAGAATATTGAACTATGGTGTACAAAACTATTGATATCACCAAATGAGGAACATAGAATCCAAGTGTGTCACAATCCAAATCCATAGTGTTCAGGCATGATTCATAGCATAACATTCACACATGAAATTGATGTGTTTAACAATAAGCGCAAAATTAAGTGTGAGACACATGATGACAGACGTGTGGAACTTTTTGAGTGTAATCACATAAGCACTCATTAGTAATATTGCACTAGATGGTAATAGTAGCAAGTGGGGGATGGGGGTAGTTCAAAATTTGTAAGTGAAAATTGTTACATTTCGTTATAGAGGAGTGGGTGTTTTATAAAAAATACATTTTTCACGTTACGTAATATTCAAACGGGACCCAAACGGGAAATAATATTGTAGTCTCACTGAAAATCGGTCAATACCGCCGATTTGTCACAAGCTCCACCTCCTACCGTTGGAAATACTGCTGCTGCTAGTTCCTCAAGCAATCTGTCCACTACGTTGTCCGAAGCGAAAATGAGGTCCGGTACGACATCGTTCTTAAATTAAAACTCATTCTTCACGTGCAGTGATGTCACATTATTGAATTTCAATCTGTATTTTCATTGCAATAAAATCTTTTTAATCTGTATGTCTGAGATTACGAAAATCTTTATCTGGTAACTTGATTTGACTAACTTTTTCTTATATGACGCTGCTCAAACATCAAAATTTCCAGTTGACTCTTCGAGTCACAAACTGTAATCAATCAGTTTGTGGGTTTCGGTAAACAAGATTAAAACAAAATTGAATTAACCATCGTATATGTCACATGATTACATGGTTAATTAAATAATAATAATAAAAGGGAACTAATACCCCTTCCAACAAGAGATCAAAAATCAGAAAATCTTAATTTCAAAAGTCCATTCAAAATTATCGCAGATAATACAATAATATTTTATTTAATGAAAAATATGATTTGGGTTTGATGCCCAAAGAGTGAATTCAAGCTGGTCAAGAGTAAGAAACGAAATAAGATATGAATATAATTAAATAAAATATAGTCCTCTTATTTGAAAAATCTGTAAAATCCGTATAATTTCTAAAAATCTGTAATCTGTTTTATAGCCGACACTGGCCGATCTAGGTTAAGCCTGCGGCTTAAGCGCCACTCCAGTAAAGTAGACCGCAGGCCACGTTGAGTTTGCCCGGATGAGACTGCCTCAGGGCGAGTCCAAGTGAAAATCTTCATAGAAAGAAGAGATCGAGCCAGCTTGACTACTACCGAATTTGATCGAGTAGAAACCCCTATTGCGAAACAGCATAATCTCTCACAATATCGAAATAATTCTAAAAAGCTCCCGGTAAGAGAATACACAAGCCCTAAACGACGTTCCACGTCAAGTTCTCCTCATCGGTAGCTTCACTTAAATTCCGCCAGAGGCGCAGCCGCAGCAAAAGAGGTACGCAACATAACAGTCAAATTCCGACCACGCGGAAGACAACAACATAATTACACGGACCCGAAACAACGTAAAAGTACTTCTTCCTCTCATTCTAATATTTGATAGGACTGATCAACAACATAACATCGATTTCAAATCAAAACATTTATTTACGAACGGAAAACGGTAAGTTGATTTTTATTGTTTTTAAACTAAAGCATGCTTTTGCGGATCTGTTGTGATTGTTTGTATTTCTACTCCTTTTTATTCTACTTCTCTATACTTCTAGCCCTATACTTGTGTGCGTTTGGTACAACTACCTCCTATCTGTGCTGTGCTCTTCTCTGTCCCCTCGGTTAATCCCACGACGATGCAGCAAGCGGGAAACGACGAAGCTTGGCACCCGGGTGTCTATTATTAATGGGTTGGGTGGGCGTCCATATCTGACGAAACGTGCGCACGATTTATATGCCTACACCCAACCATTAAATCAATGGACTTGTCTACATATAAGCAAAATATGCTCTTCGACCTTATGGTCGGCAAAAAAGGTCCTCCGTGGCGCCCTCGCCGGACGCCATACTCAACAAAGAAATTGGAACGGACTCACCAGTTGGTTTTCGCTGCTGTTGTTTGCTGCTCTGCTGTTATCGGCAGCGACGATGATGTTCGACCGTTGGACGGCCAACGATTTCCACGTGGGTGGACGGTGATCTCTCCAACAATGGCAGTTGGTATCCACCAAGCCCCGATACGCGATGAGAAATTTGATCGCTTTCCACCGGACAAGGTGACGGTTGCCGGGATCTTTCGCCCCGGGAAAGCAGGTGATATCGTCGAAAGTTGGATGTAGTCGTCGGCTGTTGAAATTAATATTAAGCACAAAGCACAAATGTTGTTCGACGAGCACATTACCTGGCCTAGATTGTTTTTCTATCTAACCTATGCCGCACACTATATTTAGCTTATGATTTGCTATAACTAAACAAACAACGATAAATTAGAATTTTAAGTACAAGTAAAACCACGTTGTTTTCACTCACTATACAAAACTATACATTAACGCGAACAAAACGACACACTTCCACTGTAAACTGCGGTTCGGACGAAAGTGAAGCGAAACCGTGACTCTCAGATTAGGGAAGGTGACCTCGGCCGAACTTAACGGAAGTTCGATTTTCCCGCGAACTTCTTCGAATGAGATCGGTAATGCGAGAGATTATTCTGATCGTTGGCCACTCGTTCAAAGTCGGGTGTAGCCACACTCTCTCTTTCCCCAACTTTCCCGAAGGTTTCCCTGGACTCGGCCTTGGGAGAAACTACGCAAGGTCGAGTGGCGTTACTCGCGAGGCATTCCAATTTCAACGTAAATCAGCTAGTGTCGTTTCGCTACTGGCATAGTTTTTGGCGTATGGATTAGATTTATTTCGTGTAAATTTTATTTATGACTAATTTAATATGATGGATGTTGAACTAAACTTAAACTAAATTAATCCTAAATGAACTGAAATCTACTTAACCTAAATGAACTAACTAAATCCTACAGCTAAACTTATAGTTAAAACTTAATCCTATAAATTGAAAGTGCTTTAAAATTATGTATCAGTAACCCTAATCCTAAGCCAGAGATGAAGAGAGAAATGAGTAGGATGCTGCGCGCATGCGCACCACACAATGGCGTCCACTTGTAGTGGTCATTTTGCCATTTGTAGATAGATAGGAGATAAACCAAATTGTATATATAGGAGAGTACAAAATATACCGTCGGAAGCGATACATCCCGTTTTCTGCTGTAGTCCGGTCGTAGATTAAAGAGAAAAGTAAACCCAATCCAGTAGTGCAATTAATTAACTATTTCCTTGAGTGATCCGAAAGTGTTCCTGTGACGACTGTTAGCTTAAGTGGTCAAGCAGCATAAGGCAATCTCCGAATCGCGCGTTGTGTGCATAGTGAAAAGGTGCATCAGGAGCAGTTTGTATTACAAAGTGTCCGAGCAAGGTGGAGAAAATTGCAAACACTGGGACTAGTCCCCCCGGTGAATTCATCATACCAATCTTCTGGGCCGTCGATTGATAGACGGTGGAAAATCCTTCGAAAAGGAACGGGTAAGCCCCATCATTTGGTCCTTCGAACCGGATCGAAGGTTCCCCCGACCAGAAGGGCAGGTGCGGTGAGTACACCATTTCGTTTCTTCCATGCGCTGGCAATTGTTCGACCTGTAGTTGAGGTCAATAGCTTTGTACGGCTGACCAAAGCCAAGCTATTTGATGCCATTTGAATAGCGCAAATTGAACAAGAGCCTCCACACAGTAGGCAGTTTTTTCGACCCGTTTGCTTTGGCGAAGCAACGGTGTGCTCGACTGAAGAGATTTAAAGGAAAATTAAATGGATTGGAAATCCTAGAACCGCAAATTGATTTTATTTTTCATTTTGCATGTGTGTATTTGGTGGTGGTGGGTGGCAAGTTGAGTCGCGTGGGTGGTACGCCCGTGTCGGGAAGGAGGTTTTACGTTCGATTTGCGTACCATCCTCGGGTATCTCGTCCGTGTAGAAAGTGGCACACCGCGACGGGAAGGATTAACACGTACGATTTGTGTCATTTTTCCGATCTCGCGTCGTGTAGAAAACGGTACGACGCGCCGGGAAGGAGTCCGTTAACCGATTTACGTACCGATTTTCCGATTTCGTTTCCGCGTTTTCCGAACTGTGGTGGTAGTGAAGTGGTGATTGTACAGTGAATCAGGATGTCCAGACCAGAGAAGAAGTTGGCCGAATGCCTGATGAAGCGGAAGGCACTACTCGTCGTTCGTGATTCCGTTGAGGCGTTCATCAAGAAGTATGACAACGAGAACGATGTGTACCAGATTCCGATCCGTCTTGAGGCGTTGGACCGTGTCTACAGTGAGTTCCAGGAGCTGCAAGCGGAGATTGAGAAGTACGATGACGCTGAGAAGTTTGAGGAGCATCTGCAAGAGCGAGCAGCGTTCGAAGCGAGATTCTGCACGGCCAAAGGATTTCTGCTGATGAAGCGTTCGACAGATCCCAACCAGACAGTGTTGAATACTTCAGTGACGGCCAATCATCACCCAGTTTCATCCAGTTTCCACCTACGGTTGCCCAAGGTCGATCTCCCTAAATTCGATGGAGACTTTTCCAGATGGCTTTCCTTCCGGGATACGTTCACCTCCATGGTCCATTCCAACGCGGACATTCCGACTGTCGCGAAGCTGCAGTACCTTCTGCAGTCCCTGGAAGGAGAAGCTCACAAGCCATTCGAGTCGATCGACATAGTTGCGGATAATTATGCGTTAACTTGGGACGCTCTACTGAAACGCTACGATAATAAGCGGTATCTGAAGCGTCAACTGTTCCGAGCCCTGTATGACCTCTCGCCGCTGAAGAAAGAGTCACCCCAAGAGCTGCACGACCTGATTGATGACTACCAACGGCATGTCAAGGCCTTAGCGAAGCTGAACGAACCTGTAGTCCACTGGGACACCCCGTTGATCAACCTGCTATGCTACAAACTGGATCCTACGACCCTCCGAGCCTGGGAGGAGAAGACCAGTAGCAGTGATGATGTCACCTACGACCAGTTAGTTGATTTCCTGTACCAAAGGGTTCGAATGTTGAAGTCCGTCGTCACCGATCTGCAGCATCGTTCCAATCAACCCGGCCAAGCCAAGGTGGCCGGTTCCAATCCAATCCAGAAGAAGCCATTTAAGATGGTATCCAATTCCGCCACGACCGAATCCAAGAACTCCGCTCCGTACTGTATCGCCTGTCCAGAGAACCACTTCCTATTCCAATGTCCAGCATTTTCCAAGATGTCCGTTCGCCAGCGACGAGAGCTGATATCCCAGAAGCGCCTATGCTGGAATTGCTTCCGCTCTGGACACCAAAGTAGGAATTGTACATCCAAGTACGATTGCCGAACCTGTCACCAGAAACACCATACCCTGCTGCACGAAACTTCAACCACGAAGATACAATCCACTCCAGTAGCTATATCTGGTCAGCCATCCCAACAACCGAATCCATCCACGTCGACTGCCGTCGAAAACCCCGGATCAGTGAATCCGAACCCCCAAGTGAGCTTGTCGGTACAGTCGTACCAATCCACTGTCCTGTTGGAAACGGTTAACCTCCTAGTTGTGGACCAGAATGGGAAGGAGCATTCCGCTCGTGCACTCCTAGATTCAGGATCGATGAGCAGCTTCATCACGAAGAAGCTTGCGAACACACTCAACCTCCGTCGTACGAAAGTAGACATCGCCGTGTCTGGAATCGGTGAAACGTCGAAGCAGATCAAGCGCAAGTTGACTGCTACAATTAGATCCAAGCTACTTTCGTACAGTACTACGCTCGAGTTTCTTATCCTCAAGAAACCCACATTCTGCCTGCCAACCATGCCGATTGATATTTCCTCGTGGAAGTTTCCTGATGTCCCGCTAGCTGATCCAAGCTTCCACATTCCAGCCGGCATTGACCTGATTGTCGGTGGAGAAGTGTACCACGAACTGCACACTGGCGGTAAGATTTCTTTCGGCGAAGGGCAGCCTGTATTCGTCGAGACCTCTTTCGGATGGACTGTTTCCGGTAAGGTATCCATCCAATCACCTGAAGTTCCCTGTGTTTGTCACCTCACCACTGTGGACCGTAATCTGGAACAAGCCCTCCAGAAGTTCTGGGAGTTAGAAGCCGTTGAAACCTGTTCCAAGTTTACGGCAGAAGAAAATCTATGTGAAGAACTGTATGCCACTACCACCACTCACGATTCGTCGGGTCGTTATATCGTTTCCTTGCCACTCACCCGCGATCCGCTCGTCACTATCGGTGAATCACGTTCTATCGCCGAGCGCCGTTTCCTGAACCTCGAAAAACGACTTGAGCGAGATCCAACCACCAAAGAGGCCTACTGTCGCTTCATGGAAGAATACGAACGCCTGAATCACATGGTGAAACTCCTAGATCCAGTAGACGAAAGCCAGCCACACTGCTACCTTCCACACCATCCGGTATTCAAAGAATCCAGCACCACCACGAAAGTTCGAGTCGTGTTCGACGCGTCGTGCAAGACGTCATCTGGATTCTCCGTGAACGACCTGCAACTGGTTGGACCCGTCGTTCAGGAAGACCTACTGTCGATCCACATCAGATTCCGCATCCACCAAATCGCATTCGTAGCCGATGTGGAGAAAATGTATCGGCAAATCCTGCTGCATCATCTGTTCCGCCGATACCAACTCATCCTCTGGCGTCCCAGTCCAGACCTACCAATCGCTACGTACGAACTGCAAACCGTAACGTATGGTTTTGCATCCTCTCCGTTCCTGGCAACTCGCACCATTCTGCAGATCGCGCAAGACGCAGCCGAGATGTATCCAGCCGCAGCCGCGGTAGCCCAGAAGGATTTCTATGTGGATGATTTCCTGTCTGGTGCCGACGATGTTGAATCCGCTATCCACCTACGCCAAGAAATGTCCGCCATGCTTTCAGCGGCTGGTTTTCCGCTGAAGAAGTGGGCTTCAAACTCGCCTGAAGTTCTAGCCGATATTCCTGAAGAAGATCTAGCATTCGCGCCGTACCATGACCTGCAAGACGACCAATCCGTTTCCACTCTCGGACTCATCTGGGAACCGAGATCCGACATGATGAGCTTCAAGGTTCAGCTGCCATTACCAGCACCCGTTTTGACTAAACGGAAAGTTATGTCCTACGTTGCGCAGATTTTCGACCCACTTGGCCTGGTGGGACCAATAATAGTCATCGCTAAGCTGTTCATGCAGCGCTTATGGGCGCTGAAAACCGAAACAGGAGATTCTTATGAGTGGGATCGTCCTCTTCCTCCACATCTCCAGTCCGAGTGGAAGGAATTCCATGGAACGCTCGATACAATCGCCACACTCCGGATTCCTCGCTGTGTATCGTTGGCCAACACAACATCATTCCAGTTCCACTTCTTCTCCGATGCATCGTTGAAGGCGTATGGATCGTGCTGCTACGTACGGTCAGAGTCTGCCGGAGCCGTTAGAGTCCAGCTGTTGACGTCCAAGTCCAAGGTGACTCCGTTGGCCAAATCGCACACTATCGCACGTTTGGAGTTGTGCGCAGCAGTGTTGTCGTCGAATCTATACGAGAAGGTCGTACATTCCATACAAAGGCCCGCTGAAGTTTTCTTCTGGACTGATTCGTCCACTGTCCTGCATTGGTTGGAGTCATCGCCATCGAGATGGAAAACGTTCGTCGGAAATCGGGTAGCCAAGATCCAGGAAACCACTGAATCCTGTCACTGGAAACACGTTTCCGGAGTATCCAACCCAGCTGATCCTCTCTCCCGTGGCGTTAATCCAGTCGACATCAAAGACCACTTGCTCTGGTGGAGTGGTCCGGAGTGGTTATCCATGTCACCATCCAACTGGCCCGTAAGCGATCTGCCCATCCTTGATCCGCTTTGGATGTCCGAAGCAAGAACCCGAGTAGCCATGGTAGCTACTGTTGATGCAAGATTTTCCGATCAACTGTTCAACCGATATTCCAGCTTCAGCAAGCTTCGACGATCCATCGCATACTGGATGCGGTACTTCCGTGCCTTGAAGGCAACCATCAAGAAAACCACCATCGAAGTATTCGTAACCATAACCACTGCCGACCTACGTGAAGCAGATCTTGCCTTAGCTCGTCTGGCTCAGCGAGAATCGTTCTCCGAGGAGATATCCAACCTCCTTGCCGGGGAACGAGTACCAACGTCGTCGCCATTGAAATGGCTCAACCCAAGAATAACCAAGGAAGGTGTGATCCGAGTTGGTGGAAGACTCGGCAACGCCGCCGTTTCCGAAGATGCTAAACACCCGATCGTCCTCTCATCAAAGCACCTGCTATCCGATTTGTTGGCCGATCACTACCACAAGACTCTGCTGCACGCTGGTCCCCAGCTGATGCTCGCCACGATTCGCCAGAAGTTCTGGATCATCGGCGGTCGAAACCTTGTTCGCCGTACGTATCACCAGTGCCATACGTGCTTCCGCAGCAGACCCGTCTTGGTACAGCAGAGCATCGCCGATTTGCCCACATCAAGAGTCACTCCGACAAGACCATTCGCCGTATGCGGGATCGACTACTGCGGCCCCGTGTACATCAAGTCGCCGATCCGCAATCGGGCGCCAACGAAGGCATATATCGCCATATTTGTGTGCTTCGCCACTCGTGCCGTTCACATCGAGCTTGTATCCGATCTGTCTACGCCGGCTTTCCTCGCCGCTCTCCGCCGTTTCGTCGCTCGCCGTGGAAGGATGACCGAAATCCACAGCGACAACGGCACCGCTTTCAAGGGTGCAGCTAACGAGCTGCATAGAATCTACGAGATGATGAAGACCAATGAAGCTGATCGGAAGCAAATCCTCGACTGGTGCGCTGAAAATGAGATCGTTTGGCGTTTCATCCCGCCCCGTGCTCCCCACTTTGGCGGTCTGTGGGAGGCAGCCGTCAAATCAGCCAAGAACCACTTGTTGCGTGAGATCGGCACAGTCAACGTCAGCTACGAAGACATGTGTACCCTTCTCACCCAAATTGAGATGTGTCTGAACTCCAGACCACTAGTTCCGATCCCAAATGATCCAGCAGACCTGGAAGTTCTGACCCCCGGACACTTTTTAATCGGAACCAGCCTCCAAGCCGTTCCTGAACATAATCTGTGCGACGTTCCGGACAATCGTCTAACGCACTGGGAGCTCACACAGAAGCGGTTCCAGAGAATTTGGTCCAGATGGTACCCAGAGTACCTGCAACAGCTCCAGTCACGATCCACGAAGTGCAAGTCAGCAGTCACCATTGAACCTGGACGAGTCGTGGTGATTAAGGACGACAACCTACCACCGATCCAATGGCCGCTCGGGAAGATCATCAAGGTGCATCCGGGCAAAGACGGAGTGGTACGTGTCGTCACCCTGAGGACTGCAAGATCCGAAGCCGTCGTCAGACCAGTCGCCAAGATAGCGCTGTTGCCGATTCCGGAGAACCGAGTTCCAAAATCCGGCGAGTGAGACCTGGTAGAGCACGCCGAAATTTGCTCGAGGCCTTCGCGGGAAACCAGCAGGTAATTGCGGTTCCAATACCCTCTATGTATCTTGTCAAGTCTACCTGGTCTTTTCTATCCCTAGTCGATGACACCAACGAAGAGCAATGGAAATTGCTTATCACCAACTCTCTCTGCGTCGAGTTCAGTAACCCCGGTAGCCACAACAAGCCGAACGTTACCGACCACTCACGTCGTCCAGATTTCGCTGTCCAAGCCGAAGCGAAACGATTCGTTGAGCTGTAGTTCCGAGAGCAGGAGAGAGATTATTTTTGAATTTGTAAATAGTGTTGAACCAACCTAGTTAGTTCAAGGTGGCCGGAATGATGGATGTTGTACTAAACTTAAACTAAATTAATCCTAAATGAACTGAAATCTACTTAACCTAAATGAACTAACTAAATCCTACAGCTAAACTTATAGTTAAAACTTAATCCTATAAATTGAAAGTGCTTTAAAATTATGTATCAGTAGCCCTAATCCTAAGCCAGAGATGAAGAGAGAAATGAGTAGGATGCTGCGCGCATGCGCACCACACAATGGCGTCCACTTGTAGTGGTCATTTTGCCATTTGTAGATAGATAGGAGATAAACCAAATTGTATATATAGGAGAGTACAAAATATACCGTCGGAAGCGATACATCCCGTTTTCTGCTGTAGTCCGGTCGTAGATTAAAGAGAAAAGTAAACCGAATCCAGTAGTGCAATTAATTAACTATTTCCTTGAGTGATCCGAAAGTGTTCCTGTGACGACTGTTAGCTTAAGTGGTCAAGCAGCATAAGGCAATCTCCGAATCGCGCGTTGTGTGCATAGTGAAAAGGTGCATCAGGAGCAGTTTGTATTACAAAGTGTCCGAGCAAGGTGGAGAAAATTGCAAACACTGGGACTAGTCCCCCCGGTGAATTCATCATACCAATCTTCTGGGCCGTCGATTGATAGACGGTGGAAAATCCTTCGAAAAGGAACGGGTAAGCCCCATCATAATATTTACAGCATGGAGCAAAGGCTACAGTTTATATCGACAGCTGTATCAACATATTGAAAAAAATCTGTATGATTACAGAAAAATCTGTATATGTGGCATCACTGGACACGAAAGCAGTGCCGTTTTATAACTTTTCAGGTTGAAGCAGAACGATGTGGTACTCAATTATGATGGCTGGGTTTGGGGAGAACGTTTATTTCATGAAAACAGTGACAAAATTATCACTTTTTATTTGTAAATTAAAAAAAAAACATTTATAGAAAATTGGAAAAGTATGTATTTAAGCAGATTCGTAGAGTTATTTATTCCTATCGATAAGTGCATTTAAATTAATTTTAAAATGACAAAGTTATCAACGTTCAAACCATAACACCTTTTCGTGATTTACCCCTTATAACTTCCCGTAAGACGTAGTCTAGGTCAAAATCTGTTTGCAAATGTGTATGACCTATTAAATTTATGATTTGCAAGCAGTTCTTTAGTTCGGTTAGTTTAGTTCGGGGGTTAGAAGGTGATGGCTCTATTGAAGATCAACCAACCCATTTCAGAATGTACGCTAGTTGAGATGTCATAGCTACGATAAAGAAGCTTTGGTTTACTCATTCAAATTTCTCTATGTTCTGAGCCAAAATATTTCTGAATAATAAAAAAAAGCTGATGAAACACTTCTAACAGTATCGCATCAAATTAAATTGATCCATAGTAATCCTGATGAAAAGCGTAGGTATAGAATATCACTAATCCCCACCAGCAATCATCGAAACCATTCTACAACTACAAATAACGCCACCCTCGGCTTCTTCAAATTAAAACCCTCCCACCCCGGCCGGATTGTACCAATTGAAGCAATTGCCTTTTAGCTCAGTACCTATCAACGGTAATCACAGAACGCAACCAACATAATCCAATTACCGCACGGGATAAGCCTCACCTTCATCCTTGCCCTCTGCTTTACGTAACTACATAACACACCTAACCGAAGTAAACAACCACAATCCAATCTACACGTCGGCGTCGTCGTCGTCGCCGTCGTAGGCGAGGAAAACTTCCTGTACATACGAAAAGCCTCCCTACTCTGGCCCGGCAGGCAGCCAAAAGAAATAAATATTCAATTTAGTTAATCCTTCCGTAATTAAAACTTTATCAAAAAAGAACACATCCACACACACATCCAGAGCAGAGCCCCCATGGAAAGCCTACGAGCAATGCATGGGCTCCACCCTTAGCCAGCCCAACAAGATGACACACACGCCGAGAGATGAAAGCGATTCGGATAGTGGTTTCTACAGTAGATGGCGACGACAGCCACAAGATGATTATCAGAAGTGAACATGTATGTCGTCACAAGACTACACCCATAACTATTTTTGCCTGGAAAACCTTTTCACCCCCCTTCTTAGAGGGAATGAAACCTGTCGTTACATTTAGGATTTTTTGCCGAAAGGAGTAGATCGCTTTCAGGGGGGGAAAAGAAGCTTACGCGAGTGGCTTTATAGGCTGGGACAAATTCTCCTAGCTCTGTGTCTGGAGAGAAGATGATACGACGTTCGTTATGATGATCGCTTTTATGGTATCTACTTCGGCTGGTTGATTCACCAGCTTTTATGATGGAGGATTTAGTCGTTTGAAGCAGCTGAGAAAAAAAAACGTCGTTACCGTCGTCCATGATGGCACCCCTTGAGTAGAATGTAAAACATGAGAGTAGTTATAATACGCATTGAAATAGCTTTTCCTGTATGGAAGATTGCTACTAGATGGTATGAATCGACGGAAGATTAAGTTATAGGCAAGCATATGGGCTTTGTGGTCGTGAGATTAGCGGCGTCACCCGTCGGCTGTATAGTCACTGCCACGAAGTTGAAGGTTCGATTCCCGCTCCAACCTTGGAAAAACTTCCCTACTGGTCTAGTGTGTGTTGCGTGTTGTCCGTTGTCTAGAGTTAAGTGTATATTCAGTGCATCCTCTGGTTGAATACGGTGTCAGTTGTCTTATATTAATTTTAGGTTGAAGATACTTTAATTAACTCTTTGAGAATGTTGCTCCGAACAGGAAAAAACCAGAAAACCTAAAGGATTTCTCGTGCATTTTCGTCGATGGTCACAAGTCGTAAGAAAGACGCAATGACAAATTCAGTATTGCATTGGCTATGGAACCTTGAAATGTTAATTGAAATGTTAATTCTTATTAAGAATCTAAAATTTCCATGCTCTAGGAACCTTTAAGAATCCAAAAGATTCCAAGTACAGTGACCTCCCGTTTTTGGCAACGTGGCAAAGGATGATTGGGCTAAGGAACCACTCATTTTAGACATGTTGTAAAATACGTTACAAGGGAGGGTGCTTCATCATACATAAACAAACGTTTAACGTTTAAAGCCAAAAGACTGAAATGCTGATAAGCCGAAAGAATATAGGATGAAGGTTCTGTTGACTGATGAATCCTAGTTTGATCTTTGCAATATCAAAAGGCGTGTCCGTGAATGGAGAGGAGAGGAGCTTCAGGAACGACATATTCAAGGCACGGTGAAGCATGGCAGAGGTATCGTTATGGTTTGGAGATGTTTTCATGGTCTGAAGTGAAGAGTCTTGTGAAAATTGATGTTATTATGACTGCAGATTCCTACATCAACATTCTGCGTGAAAATCTCGACGTTTCGTCGATTAAAACTGACCTGGAAAAACAGTAGCCATAGATGCTCCACCCCAGCCGACATTTTGCACCGACAGGATGGGATGGCCCTCCTTCTCGTAGCTTTAGAGCGACGCATAATCTCAGGTTGTCAAGACCAATAAGTAATTTGGGCTCGATTGACTCGTAGTCGAGCATTGGTACTTTTGCCGGAGATGTCGAGTTGTACACATTGTGACTTGGGCTCGACCCGTGTCACGTTTCCGGTCCACTTCAGAGTGAGTGTTTCTGATTTCCCGCTGACACCAAGCCGTCTAGCAACACATTCGTCCAATGACGTTTATATAAGGTCTGGGCCAAAGGGCTTATTGGTGTTAGTGAAATGTGCAAATGTTTAGTGGTGTTCGTATTTTATTGCAATGTTTATCTTTTTACACGAAACAGCTGTTGGCAGTGACGTATTTCTATCTGTTCTCAGTATGTTGGCAGTGACGTATATCCATCTGTTCGCAGATGTTCAGCAATGTTTACAACATTTTTGCTTCTAACACCAGCAAGCTGCCTGTTGGCCCAGACCTTATATAAATGTCATTGTGTAAGACGACCCTTCGTTGATGAAGGCGTAGATTGTAAGGGAGGTATCTTTGCCATGTAGAATGACAGGAAGAATGCGGAAAAGGGACCACCGCAAATCACTGGATGTTACGTGGCTAGAAGAAACATTCATCCGCTCGGAAGGAATGGTGGAGTGCAGTAGAGTATGGTGCTTCTGACGACAACCGCTGACACCGCAACCGCTCCAAGATCGACACGGCCACTTGCCGTGACTGTTGAGGCATGTTCTGCAGAGTCCTTTTTGTTGAACTAGCTTCCAACGATCATCCACACTGGCACCATTGAACTGATGACATTCAGCCACTCGATGGCCCGCCCGTCCACACGATACGCATTGCCTTCCTGGTTTAGTGCTAGTGGGGGTCCTGGAAGACGTGGGAGTTGGAGTTTCATCTGCGGAGTGAGCCTGAACAACACCTATGTTTCCACCCTTCTGTTTGTTGCTCCAGGTTTCCGTGAACATGATAGACCTTTGAGTGGAGCTTAATCCTGGGAGGGTGAAGGAAACTTCGATTGCTGCTGTCACCAATTTTGACATGAACTCACCAAAGGTGTCGAGTGTTGCGGGCTGATACTGGGTCTTGTAGATTGCCCAATCGAGTCGCAGTGAACTTGGCAGTTTTGATAAATTCACCTTACATACAATTAAGACCGCATTGATTTGAACAATAAATTGTGCACTATAAATTACTCTTCTGTTCTTTTCTTTCTTCCTTTTTGTTGACGTTCCGACAGTCC